CACAGAATGTAGGGTACCATGGCAGTGATACTCATTTCTGTTTCCCATCAATTGTTTCTGAAATGTTCAATTGGTCTCACTTTCCAAAGTTTTGGAAGCTGAATGCAGTCTAGCAAACTGTGTCTCCATCCAGAGATAACAAAGGTAGTGCAGAAACTGCCTTCATAAGACAGCAATGAAAACACTATTGGTTTTCCCCTGGTTTTCTTACACAGAGACAGTGGGTTTGATGGTTATTATCTGGAAACCATTCTGTAATGCTTGCATTATCACTGGCTGTTGAGAAGATTGCAGTGTCATCAAATATCCAACTTTGCCACAGACACTTTTGATTTCTAAGGAGCAGTTGAAGAACAGAACTGTGGTAAAGTGCTGACATATTTTATAGGATTGAACAAAAGGTGACAGATTTGTTGAAATGGTTTTATGCATCTCAGAATGGAAAGAGGTAAAAATGAAGTGTCCTTGTACTTACTTGGAGGGAAAGATATATTTCTGTAATATGGAAATAAACTAAAGTTTTAAAGGAACCTCAACAATGGTAGGTTAAACACAAGAGAAAATACAAACTTCATGTGTGCTTACAAAGAGTTAGTCTTTAGATGGATAGACTTGGCTTTCAGTTTAAGGGAAATCATTGCAATTTTTATCTCTGGAACATTTATGTCTCTCTCCTGGGTGGAAGTATTCCTTGATGGTACAAAGAAAGAATCTTTCAAAAGTAACTCTAATGTGACTATAATTTGTAGTTTATCTGTTACAAGAAAGTCAGTTTCAGTATTAAAACAGTAGTCAAAAATAATTCAAAATTAAGTGGTGTTTATTTTAAAAGAAGTTTGTAGTCAGAATTGAAAGAATGATAGATTGAAAATTATGAAAAGGGAGATATGGTTAGAAATGTGAAATAAGTGAGGTTGGAAAAGGCAATGTAATCATAGGACAGAGAGAGAGAGATAATTTTCTTTGCAGGATTCATAATATTTCCAATCCAATGTGTAACTATACTTCATTAATATTTTGAAATATTACTATTTTATCTTTTTTCTCTCCTTATAAAATTAAAATGTAAACTTTATTCAGAGAAACAAAATCATAAAAGCTCTCTCTCTCTGAATTCTTCATTTAGCTTATCTCTTGAGACTTATGAAAAAATAATGCAGTCTACATAGTTTCATTTGATTTAGAGGGTTCATGCTACTGAGGATATTTACATTTTCTTCTTGTATGTTATTTTCTACCTTCTTCTCTACTATCCTTATCTTTGAGTTAGGAATAACACATTTTCCATACTTACTATTTTTATCTATTGTATTTTTTATTTAGCATATATTACATATAGCCTATATTATCTCATTGCATCATTAAATGTATTACTTTAGTCTTTACTGTATTTTCTTTATCCTCTGACTATATTTTTGAGCAAAAATGTCAGCATACATCCAGTATACAGCTGTGATTTTGTGTACATGGATATATGCTTTAAGAAAAAAACTACTTTAACTAGTAGGGAATTACCTCATTAAAAAAATTTAGAAGGGTGGGACAGGCTCTGTATCTATAGGAAGGTAACTTGAAGTTGTGACTTAATGTTATTAAAGAGTATTATATATTATATATATTGATTTTCTTCACATCTCAATGTAGTAGAATACTCTTTCACTCTAAATCATTTTTTAATAAATATTTGTGCTCCTAGCTATACTGCTACCTGCTCTTCTATTTGTGTCCTTAACACTGCAGTGTTTGAATGGTGTCAGGGAACATCTTTCATGAGAATTAAACGCATTATGTCATTCTTCGTGTCTAATCACATCCAGACTAATGGAATATATTTTTGAAACATACAGACTCCATGGAGCATTTCTATCTTAGAGTCTCCTCCATGTTTTAAGATTATGCTGATTTGATTGAGCTATTGCACATCTCATTTTGTGAAGAGTCCAGAAATGAGGCTTTTTGAATATAAGACTCTATTTGCAGTGAAAGATCTTTGCTTTTTAGGATAAGATAAAACTGAAATTAAGAAAACCCTTGAGGGAAAAAGAAGAGTAATTAACTTACATCTCTTTGTCTTATGCTACTTCAAGAAATTTAAATGGCTGTGTTTGCCATGTGAGGTTTTGTTGAACACTGAGTTCCTAAATGCATCTCTTCAATGAGTGATATTCCTTACAATGAACAGTTCTGTATCAAAGCACGATAAAAAGATGGTATTGGGAGTTTGTCAGACTTACAGTGCAATACCTGTTTTTCATTTATTTTATAAGTATATTTATTGAGAGTTTCATTTGTGTCTAAATCTGCATATAATACCCTTGTACATACTAGTCTCGTACATCAAGGTGAAAAATTGATTCAAATAAATGCTAGTTCCACAACAAAGCAATAACTATTCAAATGAAGACTGCCTATTGTTATGATGTAAATTTAATAGAATTTCTATCATTGTTTTATTCCTGCATTAAATGTATTTCTATCAACAAATATCTATTTAGTAGATTAAAAGCTACAGAGACAGAAAATTTTCAAGCTACTATTTGGGATTTATGGCATGGCTTCTTAATTGGGAGAAAATTGATTAAATAAGTGCTATTGTTTCTAAATTAATTATTCTATTAGTACTTCCTTCTTATCATTATTAATTGAAAAAAGTTGGTGCATTGTCATGCCAAAACTTCTACTAATTCATTAATATTTCTACCAATTAATGCAAAAAGGTTATAATCCATTTATCTCAAGAGATGTGTTATCAACTGATCATGTATCTACAGTGAGAAGACACCTATTACTTTTTTTTTCCTCTGACTTCTATTAGAATTATTCTTCTAACATGTTTGATGAGTAAAAAGTTAAAACTGAAAAGTATTTGTTACTAAGAATGATTTTTTTACCACTTTGATGTGTAAATATTTTTCCCATATCAAATGCTTTGCATAAAGGCTTTTAAAAATACAATTTTTAAAAAGCGTAGGTATATGTGACTGATTTGCATGCCAATACTGGTCATTTGATTCTAAAATATTCAGAGGGAACTTCCCTGCTATTCAGTCGTGTCCCACTGACATTGCTAGAAAACTTGCATTACCATAACAAACATATTCCACATTTGGAAATAATGGGATTCCAAACTTGCTTTGAAAATTTATGCAGGAGGATTTATGTTAATGCACTATATGTCTCAAAGCTGCTCATTCCTATGGATACTGAAAAAAAATAAACAGTGTAAGGGGCTCATGATAAAGACTTTCTAATAACAGGTTTGCTCTAGTAGGAGTGCCAGGGCTATAGATATGTAATATAAAACATTTTCAGAACATTTTAAGTACTTTTAGCCATGTTTTGGTGGTGCTAATGATGATTTATTTGTTTATTTGACAACTATAGCAATTATAGCTAGACAACTTTAATATGAGATGTAACATGCCATGGAGAAGTAGATCTTAGTATTTGCTTATTTGTATTTCATCCAATGGATTCATTGTAGTTGCCCAGACAAAAAGATATTTATATGTCATTGTTTTTTTTAACTTGCAAAGACATAGCAACATTAGTCAAAACTGACAGCTGCTATGCTTTCATATTACATATCTCATTTATAGCACTTATGTGTGTTCATCCTGTAAGAAAATTTAATTGCCTAAAAATGCATTCTAATTATGTATGTTTTAATCTTCTTGGTTTTGCAACAAAGTTTTGGTACAGTCTTGGCATTTAAAAGTAGATGAAAACATAAGCTACCAGCTATAGTATAAAATTGTTTAAGAATAAAACATAATGGTTATCAGATGAAATTTAGTGTTGTCTTTAATTTTATTGATTTATATTGATTATTCTAATTTTGCATTTTGTCAATGGTATCTCGATATTGACTCTAAAATGCAGACAATTATAGCTATTTTTTGTGGTGTATGAACTTATCTAGTATCTGCAGTGTTAATGAATTATGAGCAGTGTTTGTGACTCATTAACAAACTGCATGCTGAAGTCAGGTCAAATTTATAGATTTTTTTTCTTCTATTTCTGATAATTTTTGGAAGAAAGCATATGTTCTTCTGGCAAGAGTAGATTCAGAGTTCTTTGTAATTATTATTACTTTTCAAAATGAATTCCTCCCATTCTTTTGCTACAAATAGATTTTCAGTACAGAGCATGACACTGTCCCTCAGATGTTCTCCATGTCTGAAATGGCAGTGTGTTTTTGAATGTGAAGTAATAAAGTAAGTAATGGGATACATGCTTTGGCATTTACCTTGCATGCATTTGCAGTAACTTAGATGTCTGAGATGAGAGTAACATTTGGTTCTGAAAAAGTGTCCTGAATTGACCATGAGAGTCTCTTTCCTCACGTTCTGTATTTTGGGCTTGATAATTTTGCCTTCGGCAGAGTGTTGCAATAATGCAGTCCTTTCCAGAGTGTGTTATGTGGATTCTGAAATTTCTGAGCTTGTACATACTTTTTTTTTTTTGGGGGGAATCAATCTGTTTCTTCTTTTGGATACGTTCAGCATAAATTATGATAATTTAATAATTGAAAAATGTAGTAATAGACATCCCATTGGTGACATTAAACTGAGTGCTCAATACTTGAAAAAGAAAAATAATACTTGCATTAAAATAGATAATATTCAAAAAAGTTGAATAGTCATGAAAAAAGTATTTATTCTAGTTAACATACCTTTTACTATCCAGCTTTTTCTTCAGCTTCATTGCAAGGATTGACTTTGCTGTCAGTTATAACTTTTATTTTTTCCTCAGCTCCTCTACTAACTCTGTCTTTATGTTCTTTTCCAACAACAGTAGTTTAACCACTTCTTCTTCAGCTTTCTTTTTTTCTTCTGGTGTCTGTTATTTTTTTTCCCCACTTACTAACTCTGCTCTGCAGACTTCTCTCTAAAACAATTTTTGGCCCTTTCCCTCAGTGTCAGTTTTAACCTTCTGAATACATCCTCTCACGCCCATCTCCTTTGTCTATGTCTGTACATTACACGATGTGATCACAGAAGAAGCGGAATCATCAAGGAGAAGAAACTCAGGTCTGTCTCTTCTACTGCTTTTCTCTGTGTTATTTTTTTCATTTTACCTTTTCTATAGATTTTATCACAGCTCACCTCACATACTTCTCCCTCTCTTCCCCCTCAATAAATTGGCAAAATATTGGCAAGCTGTAAGACCTTAAGATGCTTATGTAATTTTTATCACCTATAAACTATGTACTCTATAAAAAGGAATAAATGGTAACTGATGACACATATACCATACCTTAAGACTTTAAACTGATTTGATTTCTATCATATCAGTTCTTATTCCCATCCCAATTATCTGTAAATTAGCCTTTAAGCTTCCAACTAGCACATGAAAGTAATCTATAATTTGTTTTATCTTTGCATTTTCATCTGCTACAAAAACTACAGAAACTTATATAACTGCTTATTTTTGACCCTGGGGAGAATATAATTTCAAAACTGAATAATTTTAGTAAGTTAAATTCCAGGCACTGAAATTTCAAACTTAGTTTGAAATTAGTTTCTTTGAATAAAAACTCTTTAAGTTAGAAGTGATCAAAAGCTCTTTTCTCATGCTGAAAATGTTGTAAAACATAAGGTTATGATAACGTGAGAGCAAGAAAACATAAATATATTGAAGGAGCTCTAACTTAGCTTTATTGTTCATGAGGATTTTACTTCATATTGTGCATTACTTATGATTTCTTCTTTCCTATAAAATTTTCATCTATCATTTTATTGAATTTTCCATGTACTTTATATTACTGACAGAGAACTAACATCTAGCAAGGCATCCTAGCTCTTAAAATGCAGTAGTTGTTCACATTTCTCTGCTTGTTCAGTTGGGTGTATGTAGAACAATGAAATTCCCCACATTTAAGTTAATTAAGTTAATCTATAACATTTAAATTTTACAATTATTGTATCGAAGCCTTAATTAATTTCATGTGCCCCTGCTATTATCGCAACAAATTAGAGAAGCCACTTATATGCAATTTTGATTAAAAAATCTGTAGAGGTTTTGGGGTACATTGACTGTACATTACACTAACATTACACTTAGATGATATTTAGTCAAACATTTTTGTCTTTCCTCTGCTGCAGCTGGCTCCTTCAGAACTCAGTTTTACCTTTCATACTAATCTTGTCCTAATCAGAGCCAGAGATTATCTTTACAGAATCTTGCAGATGTTATTTGCTGTGGTTTTCATATTAAATATTAAATATTTCATATTAAATAAATCTCAAGATAGAAATTGCTTAAATTACAGGGTAAAAAATTTTAAGTATGCGTAGAGACAACAAGCAGTAGTGTGTTCTGAATTCCCTCTTTTGTAAATCGCCACTATTAGGAATTAATAAATGATGCTGTAGAAAGACTGTGTTTATTTATCTTGTGCTTATGATCCTTTCCCAGTCCCTGTGCAGTGACTCCAAGTCTCTTTTATTACAAAAATGAAATCAGATGATTGGGTGACCCATTTTGTATCTGGTCATAATTAAAGAAAGGAAAGTTGTTGGCCTTCTTACTCAAGAACCTTCCTCTAAGTTATTGAATGAATCACTGTATTGAATCTAAACATGGAATCAGTCCATATCTCTTGGTGTTGGAAGACATCAGACCTTATAATGGCATCTTGTGTATCAGAAAAAACCACATATTTTCACCACCTACATTTCTTGAACATGTGTGAGGAGGCAATACCTCTGTTGACATTGAAATTCAGATACTCTTCTGCAAAACACTATTTAGCTCACAATGTTAAGTAAATGTATTAGGCACTGATGAATTAAATTGTCTAGCACACAAATGCAAAAGTTGTTATTACTGCCCTTAAACTCAGGAGAAAACTGTTTTGTGCATAATAGTATATTTTCAAATGTACCTTTGAAACGGGCAGTCTTGCATGTTTTACCTCAGTAACAAAATAGCTTACGTTCCATTACGAGGCACTTTGAGCACAGCTAAAAAGCAAGGGTGACATTTCAAAGGCATACCTTGTGTTTTCCCCTGCTTTAGAATTTGCTTTAAGAAGTGTTGAACTAGGATTACCCATTTACAGGTTTCATTAGGAAATTAGTTTCACCTTATTTGTCATGCTACCAAACATCATGTGAATTAAAAGATTAGATGTTGATTTAAGGTGTTATTAGACCAAGTGATGTTGTGAGGCTAAATATCTGAATATGTGACAATTGTATTGAAAAAAAAATTGCAATTTCCTCCCTGTGGATATTATAATCTGTAATTGCAAAAAGGAGAAAATTTTATTCCTTCAGAAAACATCTAGGTTCTTATTGAAAAGGTTTATGAAAGCACATGCAAAGCTTATGCTGTATATTTCAAGAACAAAAGCAAAATCAGAAAGCTAACAAGCAAAATATTTTATTATAAATTTTGTTATCTGACAGCAGTGGAGCTTGATAGCATCCTTAATGAAAAAGCCCTGTTTTTCTTGGGTGAAGGAGGAGCTTTGCAAAGCAGTGGTTTTTTTAGATTTGTTTTTTAAATCATATTTTGGAAATTATTGTTTCATAGGTTTAGATATTGTGATATTTAGATATAGTGAGAAGTGCTGGGGAGATGTCTACCTGTTCACCTCCCCATATATTCAGCATGAGAAATAGAATTAAGCCCCTACCTGCCAAAGATCCTTAGTGATGATGTCTTTATCCTCATCAGTAAGATGGTTCGCACCAACCAGTTACCATTGTGCCAAAAATTACTTGTAATTGCAAGACTTACTGTGTTCTTCAAACACATGACATAGAGAAAACATTCTTTAGCCTTGCAAAATTAATCTAGACCTAGATGTGAGTTAACTCAGATGTGAGTTAACTGCACAAAAATTGATCACCAAAACTATGGGAAAGCTGATCCATGACAGTTTAAAGGTAGTCAGTGTACATACAGGAGACGTAGTGCTGGGTAATTAATTCTAGGTTTATTCCAGGATGAAAAGGATTAAAGTAGTGATACCCAATCATTGCTGCTTTCTGAGGTGCATAGGAGTTAGAAGATAAAATAGTGGGGACAGTTCCATTTCTAAAGGGCCATGAAGTCAGGGAAATAGATATTAATGTCCGTTTCTGCAACATCTGGAGCCAAACAGTCATGTTAGGAGCACACAAAGAATTGATTAGAGTTTTTGTTAGCTTTCAGAAGGAAATTCAAATAGCAAGGACTTTGAAATATGGGGGGGGGTCTATGCTGTATTATGAAGTCTTTTTGTAATAACATGATTGCTGGAAATGAAGCCCACAAACCCTAACAAAACCTATTGAAGATAAGTGACTGAATTGGAAGAGCTCATAGACCTGGACAGTGGAGGGCCAAACAGTTGAAAGGTCTGGTAAATCAACTGTTGGAGAAAGCAAGGACAAAAAAAAATTGGTACACTTAAGAGGCTTTAAGGAATCAACTTCAATAGAAGACAAGGAGCAGAGTTATTTGAATTCATTCTTATCTTACAGTACCACAAGTGGCTTTTCAAGCCTTCCAAGAGTGAGTCTACTGTGTTATCTTTTACAAACAGAATATGACACCCCTCTGCTTTTGAGTTATTGTTATGATCAGTATTCAGTGACACACTTTCCTTTAAAGAGCAGGATGGTGCTTTGTTCTGTTTCCATCTTCCTTACATTGAGAAAACATTTCTGGGTGGAATTTTTAACATTTTAGCACAAATGTGATTAAATTACTTTTGCATCTCTAAACATTTCTACGATATTTAATTTGACAGGCATGTTTAAAATCTGATGCCTAAGACTCTGAAAGAGACATTTAAAGCATCTAAATCTGTATTTGATCAACAAAACACAAAGGGTAAACTCCAAATTCAGTTTAATTTGGTAAACACCAAATTCAGTTTAAAGGTATTTAGCATGGCAATAGAGATATCATACTAGATGGTGGGGAGGTTCTTTGTCCTTATTTTTTATTTTGTTTAAAATTTAAAACCAGAAACCAAAGGCCTCCAAATCCAACCCTCAAAGTAGCCATCTGTACTATACCCAATAAATAAAGGCTGATCTTCACTCTGCTGAAGATAAAATAGCAAAAATAGGAGATTATGTAATTTAAAATGACAGCATAATTGCACAAAAAACAGAGTAGCACTACATATGTATTTTTTTATCAGTAAAGTTTTGTCATTCTCCTGTGTCCTGAATGCAGGTGCACACACCACTGTTGGTTTCATATTTTTTGGTTAAAGCTTTTACCATCTTTCTGGTTACTAAAATGCTGATGAAGGTGTCTTGCATTCTTAGGTATTAATAGAGATCCCTCAGCCATCCTGTTTGCTTTTCTAAAAGCAGAGGCATAGTTATCATGAAGAGTTTATTTATACATGTGTTTTTTAGTGGCTGTATCAGAAAGTGAAATATTCTCTGGTTATGTGGAATATACCAGTGGTGAGAACTCTGAGGAGCTTGCATGGATGTTGGAAAGCTTAATAATAAGACCATGCTCAGGCTTTCCTGAAGACAATGCAGCATTTATAATGTGGCTGATCTGAATGGACTTTTATGAGTACAGGATGTAAGCCTGTACTTATGAAGGGCTTACTGACCACTCAGATATTTTTCTTTTACACTTTCCAAATACTATCATTCGTATAGGGAGAATGCACCAGAATTCTTGGGAGAAGCAAAATGGAGGGGGTTTTAGCTAATATGCGACTGCTTCTTTCTTCCTTCCTTTTTCCATGTGGGGCTCAGTATTTTACAAAGGCCATCAAAATGTGTGTACACCATTGTATGAGACAACATGGAAAAACGTCACCGATTACCCTCCAAAAATCCCTTTGGAAAAGGATCTACACACCATAAAAAAAGAGCTGGTCATTGTTTAATAATTAGTGTAATAAACATGCAAAATAGAACTTCCTGGCTTTCTTCAAATGATCTTTGTTCTTTATGATCTGCACTGATCTATCCTTAGTGATGAAGACCTGAGCTGACCCTGTCAATTTATGAACCCATGATTCTAGAGATTCCTTAACTTCCCAGCTTAGATCACCACACCA